TATAACACGCTAAAATGACGAGAGATCTGTTTGTGACGCGTTGATATCATGTGACGTGACGAGTACGGATGAGATGGAGATGAGTCTGTTTTTGGTTGGAATCAAATCAAAAGGCTCAGAATGGTAATATAAATAATTAGAGATGGTAAGTAAATAACGCTAACAGTACACAAAGATATACCTGCAATTAATGCGACAAATATCGTCGGTGGGGGCTACCGAATAGTGTGGTGCGCCTGTAATTGGTGTCTAGATGTTAAAAGACCAAGGTCCCAACTGTTAGCACATCAACATTCTGTCCACGTATCTAAAGATTAGCTATCTGATGATCTTCACGAAATTCTACTCGAAAAGCTGAAGATGGACAGGTTGAATAACAGGTCATATGTCTTCATATCCTCTAAAGCACGCTGAGATTACACGGTCTCCATGAGTACTAATTTTATCAATATGTTAATGGGTATCACACGCTATACGAGGAAATTCTCTCGGTATACAATAATATGATTCAATCCCAATCAAGTATGGTTACGAGCCATTCACCGAGAAAGGAGAGAATCATTATCACTTTACGTCAGATCCTTCTCAAATATAATAATAAGGATCACCAGAAACATTAAAACACGAACCTAAAAATATGGGGACGTATCAAAACCCAAACAAAGAAACAGGTAAGAAAAATCCAAAGGAATTAACGTTTTGAGTCACAAGCTAATGTCGGAAAAGGACGAGCTTTCTTGACATCAGGAACTTTCATTAGGCTACAATTCCTGAGTTTGTCCGGACATTTAACGATCAAATCGCTGCTAAAGCTCCGGTATACAGGCAAATCGATCACTGTAAGTTCTTAAAACTGTTCTTTTTCTTTTATAGAAGCCACCTCTAAGACAAGGTGACAAATATAAACAAATATATTATTCAACCCTATATTTTTACGGTGGAAATTTTCAGATTTCACTACAACTGCAGCACCTGTTCACCATTAAAAGCTTTGGTATTATCAGCTATCATCCAGAAATTTAGAAAGTTTCGACTGACAACCACGGTGAATAGCACATTTCAGTTATCTTAAAAACCACTCGTCAAAAAAATATGTTCTAAATATATTTCATATAATGCTCATTTGTTAATTGCTACTTCTATCACCAAAATTTTGAACACATCCATTAAAGACCCTTGCAAATATTCAAGCATAAACTGAACTTCTCTAAATAGAGAGGAAGATTGCAGCTGAAATACATTCAGTAGTAAATAGAGAGGGTTCGGTGATGTTGCAAAGATGAGTCCTGCACACCAAAAGACCAGAGCCAGAGGTCCAAATCTATGCTCAGCACCTGTCAAAAGAAGCCTTCAGCACATTAATCACCGAGGTTGGAATATCTGAATGAGAACACAACATTTATGCAACTCCAATGTAAAATCAAATAAATCAAAAGCAAGGAACCATAACGTTCGTTAACATGATACAAATGCATGCCTTGACATAAACTAGTGAGGGGGAGCTTAGGATCCTCAATGATATATATATTTTTTGGTTTAATTGCGAATAAACCTCCTGTACTTATCGCCAAAGGTGGATAGAACCCATGTAGTTCTATTTGTGCGGATAGACCCCTATAGTATTTGCCAAAGTGCAGACAATCAGTTTTCAACTTATTTAAAGAGTCAAAAAAGTTAGCAATTGGGGGTCCATCCTCACAAATAGAACCACATGGAGGTCTATCGGTCTCCTCAAAACCTTTTTACTCTAGCTTTTTGGCTCTTTCTAGAGTAAAAAAGTAAAAATCATTCAGGGGGTCTATCCGCAATTAATGCTATTTTTTCCACAACTTAGACTAGGTGAGATAATGTCGATAATCTTGGACAAGCGAAAAACAGAGTCAGAATATTTGCTTGCTCTCTTGAACCTTGAAGTTGATAAAAATTGCATGCCTTGAAAGAAACTTAAGACTACAATCTCCAGATATTTGAATACAAGTTGATAAAAAAGATTCATACTTAAAAAGGAAAATCCTAAAAATAGATTATACATATGCAAATAATAGCCAAACAGAAAATTATCTGTTAGACAAAAGATAGATTATACATATGCAAAATAATAGCCAAAGAGAAAAGTATCTGCTAGACTATAAAATTATAACCCTCACCATGATATACAATTGTGGCAAGGTCTTTAAACATGGCCATAGAGGAACCTATATTCGAACATATTCAAATCTTACTGACCCTGAGTTTCTAAAGCAGATCTAAAGAAAGACGTCCAGATTCAACCATGAAAGAACCCTCAACCGTGGGGACGTGAAAAATTATAACCTTCAACCGTCACTACAACTTTGGAGTTATAGTGCCTGTGCAGGGTCGATTGACATCATTCTGTCGAACAAACAACAGCTCCATAGTACAACCAAAAAAAAGTATTTTAACCTTGCATACCAGCTATGTTGCACGAGTATGGGTACAATCGAAACGGGTACGAGTATGGTACAAGGCAAATTTGTAAAAGGTACAGAGACACGGCTACATAAATATTTATATATACATATTATATATTGGAATCACTGATTTATATGAGAACAATAGTGAGAATTAAAATTTCCTACAATATTTTTATGTTTTGTTTTTATATGGATTATATAAACTGGAGAAAATGAATACTTTTTAAATTAGACATCCAAACGACCCTTCATAGTTCATAATCATAATTCACCTGACTTATGCACAATAAATTTTAAGAAGTTGATGTGAAGTGCAGGATATATATATCCAAAAATGCATAACATGTTTTAAATTAAAACATGTATTGTATAATTGAGTACATGCTCGAATAAATGTATGCATATATGCAAGGAGTGTCCATGGAGTTTGGGTACGGGTACAGGTATGTGTGCGGTACGCGTACGACTTTTGATTAGAAGTACCCAGGTAACATAGCATACCAATAAAGAGTCTGAAGGAATTGACTGTAGAAACACCTTTGAAACTCTTCACCTGTCCTCCATGATCCCATACGTGTAAACTATGAAGTACGGACACAGACACGACGACACGGACACGGACACGGACACCGCGAACCCCAAAAAAATAGGACACGACGACACGACCAATTTTTTTAATATTACTATTATATATAGATCAATATTAAATTAAATTCCTATTACATTTTCATATTTTTTTTGTTATGTAAAATGGAGATTGTAAATAAGAAACTAAAGGAAAGTGTGTGTTGCAGGAGTGAATTAAGACGTCGGGATGACAATGATCTCTTGGAGAATTGAAGACAATAATGTTAAAGAAGACAAGAAAGAAAAGATGAACATATAGAAAAATAGATCAATTTTTATGTTGTATTATTATGTAACATTGGCTTGTATAATCAATGACAAATGTAAGTTATGTAACTGATTTGAAGATAATACCAAATTTTAATTTTCACTACTTTCATCTTGAGCATATAAAGTAACTGATTTGAAGATAATACCAAATTTTAATTTTCACTACTTTCATCTTGAGCATATAAAAATACAAAAGAATAAAGTTTAAGTTGTAACTAGCTCCATGACTACAAAATACTAAGTTACTAACATTGCAAAAATATAAAAATTACACTCAAAAGCATATCTTAAAATAAAATTTTCAAGTTGAAACATCAAAAAGATTATTTTATGGCTTCAACTCCTTCATCCTCCTCAAACACAACGGTCTCCATCGTCGGCTCGTCAAGAGAAAGGGGAGCAACATCTAACATGTCGGCTCCTTGTAATCAGTCGAAGGCATCTCCACCAATATCACACATTCTTGATTCCCCTTCCATATATTCTTCCAAACTCCGAGAAAGTAAGCGAAGGTTGGTGTGAACATAAACAAGATCTTCCGCCCATGTCGGGGTTAGCTTGTTCCTCTTTAAGGAGTGAATGAAACCATATGTACTCCAATTTCGTTCACAATAAGAAGAGGAACAAGGTTGGCCTAAAGTTTTACGGTCAATGCTTGTAAATTTAGAGTACTTGCACCATAAAGAAACCACCATGACTTTGGATCCATATGTCATCTATCGGAAAGAGAATCCGAATTATTAAAGGTCTCCAAAGACCCCACAAACTTGGCATATTCCAAGTTCACCGTCCGTCGTTCATCGGGGTTAGGATAATATTTTCTTAAGCACTTTGCTCTTTCCGTAGAGATATCAAGATCTTGATTTGGAGCTTGCCGATAGACGTTCTCATTGAACCATGTGGAATGATAGTGATGAGGACATTCAGACGCGTGCTCGAGATTTTGACCGAGTTTATCAGCGCAGGAGGCGCAATATTTCAGCATTATGATTTTGAATTTAGATGTAATAATTAATTTGAATTTGAATTTCGAATTTCGAATATTTAGTTTCTTTTATTTGATGTAATAATTAATTTGAATTTGAATTTCGAATTTCGAATATTTAGTTTCTTTTATTTGGTAGTTAATCAGTGATTGGTTGTATTTGAATTTGAATTTCGAATTTCGAATATTTAGTTTCTTTTATTTGGTAGTTAATCAGTGATTGGTTGTAATTGATTAGGGAGAGATTTGAGGGATTTAGATGATTTTCTAAATCTGTAATTGCTTATTTAAAGACTCTGTAATCATAATATGGGATAATGAGGAATAAAAACGAAAATTATCTTGCTTGATTGTGGTGTGAAACCCTAGCAGTAATCTCGTTTTCTTCCCTGCAGCAATTAAAAGAAAAAGAACATAAAAAGAGATTTGTCTCAGACCGCCGCCGCCGCCTTCACCCGCTCCGCCGGCCGCTTAGCCCATCCTTCGGTCTGCATCTCCATCCTTTTCCTCTGAACGAATGAAGAGGCTCTTGGATCTGATTTAGTTGTTCAGATCCCGTCTCCCACCTTATTTGTTGGTTTAATTTGGGTCAGATCCGAACCAGACCAAGTTGGTTCAGATCTGTTTTGGGGCTCATTCGTATTGTCAGATCTGCTGAAACATCGTGATAGTCCAATCCTGTTGGCCATTGGTGTATGGCTGATCCCGATGCTAAAGACTACGGACTCATGCTTGATCCAGAGACTGGCATCGTTGATTTACAGCTTTCCCCGTGGTTCGATTATCAGACGTTCGAGATTGTGCCCGAATACGTCGAACGCGTGACTCATCAGATTGTCAGTAGTGTGGAAGCCCAGTTAGGCATCAGTTCGTTTCATAGGCGTTTCAATCCAGACGCGCCACTTCATCCCAATTACGTGGCTCTCGGAGAACTTCTTCCCCTCATTTTTGGCATGTACGAGCCACCACCAGAGGAGCCTCCCGTCGAACCAGTTCAACCCGACGAAGGTTTAACTTTCTTTCGCCCAAATATTTTCAGAACTGCTGTTGCATGCATGTTGTTATCAATATTATTATCAATTGTGTTTGTGTTGTATTCAGTTTGATTAGTGAGCAAGCGATTCAATTGCTAAGTATATTTGCTAGTCTAAATATTACAAATTGAACTGTATTAAGAGAACGAATTATTACATTTATTTTTCGGATAATTTACAAAGGGTTTGAACTTAGTACATTGCACTTTTGCTTAAAAGACATCGCAAGCTACATTGTTTTCTTGAACTTCCTGCCTAGATCGATCGCTGATTTGACGAAGCATTGTTGTCATTAATCTTCATACCTGCATCACATTGTTTCGCATCAGATAGTACCTATGTTCGTTAATAACATGAATTAGCCCACAAGGTATTAATTAATTAAAATATTCGCATTAAAGAGTGAAATGTGAAATATTACCTTGGAACTAAAGAGTGTGCCAAGCACTGAAGCGGGGTGTTGCCCTTGTTCCATCGATCCACCAAGATCTTGTGAACCACTTCATAAAAAGGAGATTCCTCGTTATCCCTTTTACCCTCATGCCTATAAATAGCTTGCTTCACCTTCTTAATCATTGTATCCCACATATCATACACCAAATGAAGACATGGTGTATCGGTATCAGTGACCCTTATCATTTCATAGATTGGGCCTGTGAAGTCAAGAATAAAATCTATCTTGTCCCACCACAAATCATCAAGAACTTTCTTTCACAAATTGAGCTTTCCCCACATCATCTTTTCTATACAAGCTCCATCGATCACTAAGGACCATGTCTTGGAGGCCTCTCTTGACGACCTTAAACCTCTTCAACATAATAATCCACGAGGCAAATCTTGTGTCGGCAATCGATAGGAGCTTCATCTTGGAATAATCATCGAACATGGAAAGCCGCATAGAGTGGTTCATGATAAAATTCTTCATAAGCAATGCATCATCGGAGATCTCTGTAATCCAATGTAATTGTGCATAAGCCACGGCATTTGCTTCCGTGTTCTTAACTGCATAAATATTCTTGATAGCAAGATTGAGTGTATGGACTACACAAGGAGTCCAATATATGAGGCCAAGTGCCCTCCACAAACCCTCCCGCGGCCTTGCATGCCGAAACATTATCGGTTATGATTTGGATGATATTTTTCGGTCCTACCTCTATAATGCACTTTTTTAGCTGTGCTTGGATAAAATATTTATTCTTGACTTCTCCCTCGGTATCCACGACATTCAAGAACATTAGCTTAACCTCACATACCGTCATAAAATTGATGATGAGCCTCCTTTGTGCATCCGTCCACCCATCACTACAAATGGAAACCCCCTTCTGTTGTCATGTGCCCCTGATGGGCTCCATCAATCTCTCTACGTAAGCTTTCTCACGTCGTAAGATAGTGGTCCTCATGTAATTGTAACCGAGAGGCTTATAGCCAGAGATTGGATTGCTTACGACATATGCAAAAGCCTTGACATAATATGGATTCTTTGTCAAGTTGAAGGACAATCCTTCGGTGAAAAACATCCTACCAATTAATGCATTCAATTCCTCCATTGCTCCCATGTTGAATGCTTGTTCCACGATATTAGGCTCACTCCTCTTAGATTCACTTGCACGAATCAGCGTGCTTGCACTTGCACCTACACTGATCGTACTTATAGTCGAAGATGTAGGCAAAACTGACATCTTAGACCTAGAAGCCATCAATCTCGCCCCCGCTTGATCCAACGTTCTTTGAAACTCCCTTAGATTTTCGGGTGTTGACTTGAAACACATCTTAATTCTGCTCCCGCTTATCCTTAAAAGGTGATTTTTAACTCTTGAATATGAACCGGTAAACTCTTCTCTGCAATAATTACATCTCCATCTCTAATTTTCTCCTGCCGTTCCCCTTCCCCCCCCCCCTCCAATTTGGTAACATATTTTCAAAGCGGATATTTGTCATCTTGTACTCCACTGCTAAAATAATAATTAAAATCATAATTAACAATAAAGTAAAACAATGACAAGACATAATATGAATAACAAAAAATAAATCCTAGTTCTTATTTTTATGTTATTCTCACATTTTTATACATACTGCTTCCATTTGTAAGGATAATGGCACAACTTTTAAACATTTCAAATGCCAAAAGTTTTAAATATTACAGGTTAAATATAACCAAGTTTATTGACTAGATAAATTAAAATAAAAAATAGTAAAAACAGAAAGAGAGAGAGAAAAGCAACTGAGAGAGGAAGAGATCCAATAAAAGAGAAAAGCAACTGAGAGAGAGGAAGAGATCAGGGGGAGAGAGATCCAGAGGGAGACTGAGAGAGAGAGATTGAGAGATCAGAGAGGGAAGAGATCAGGGGAGACAGAGAGATCCAGAGAGAGACTGAGAGAGAGATCCAGAGAGGCTGAGAGAGAGAGATCGAGAGATCGGAGAGGGAAGAGATCGAGGAAAGAGAGATCCAAAGAGAGACTGAGAGAGAGATCAAGAGATCGGAGAGAGACTAAGAGACAGATCGAGAGATTAGAGACTGAGATCGAGAGATCGAGGGAGAGAGAGAGAGACGAAGAATCGAAGAGAGAGATCGAGAGACTGACCTAACCGACGAGGATGACGATGATGACGATTTGCTGAGAGGACGACGATGACGATCGAGGATGACGAGGCCGAGGGAGAGAGATCGCGGCGTTTTCTTTTCAGTCGGGATCAAGAGAGAGATGAGTCGATCGGGTGAGTGAAAAGTGAAAACTAGGGTTAGGGTTTGGCTTTGGCTTTGGCTTTGGCTTTGGCTTTGGGTTTCGAGTATACAAATTCTGTTTTTTTTTTGCCCTCTCAACCGTGTCGAGAACAAAACAGCGTGTCGAGAGCATGACGGGAGCAAGTAGGCGACGTTGACCGTGTCGGCGGCGTTGACCACGTGTCCGACGCGTGTCGCACGCGTGTCCGCTTCCGCATGCGTCGGAGACGAACTCGGGGCCTTTTTTTCAAGTGTCGGTGCTTCATAGCGTGTAAACAAACTCAAAACACCATGGATGCAACAACTCTGCCTTTATTTCAAACTACAATTGGAATATATATATTATCACCTGTTTATAAACAGATATATAAAGCTATATCATCAAGTGAAGACATAAATATGACAATCTTAGTTTGCAGAAAAGGTGGCATTTCTTGCATCCATGACATAGGCCTTTTAATCCAACATTCTTCTCTAGTTTGTTACTGTTCTAGGCAATTTGAACAGCTTCCCATGAACAAGCTACTAACTACCTTCTTTTGTAAATTAAACCAAGGTGTAAAAGAACTTGATTGCACACTTTGAGAAGGAATTTCTCCTATTTTATAATGATACTAACACCTCTCTTTGAGAATAATAATTATGCATATTTAACTTATCCAACCAGTAACTTCATTGTTCCATTGTACTTGCAAAAGGTAAAGCCGCTCATAAATTTCTTACACCTTGGTTTGGAATTAAATATTTCTTGTGTCATACAATAATTCTTGATCATATCACTAAGAAAAGGATAGGTACCCTGATATTGAAGTACAGATCTCAAATGATGCTTGTTAAGTAATTGATTTTGTGATAATTTGTTAAAAACATAGGCTTGAGATGAAGAAGATAAGTCACAAGAAATATTTGAAAGTTTGAAAGTGGATACCAGATCATAAACTTGTAATCAAATCAGTATACCTGTTTCCCGTGCTTTGTTTCGATAAGCTCCCTCATCTTTTCAACAGCATGAATTGTGCAGGCACGTATCTCAATTTCCTCCTCCGTACCAGAACCTATTTCTTTTTCAGAATCAACAATGTTTTCCAAGGCTGAGCTGTACTTAAGCACACCAAGGTTCCTAAGCACAGCAGGGACTATGTAGTCTGCAAATATTGTTATGGAACTAATGTCATAGAAATTGCCATAACCTTTTCCCTTGAAAGCGCCCCAAAGATCAGCAACAAAAATCTGAGCTCTTTTATATAAGAAAACTTGATGGCCTTTATATAGTGAATGATCTCGGAAGCCTAGTAAGAAATAGTCTGGAGTTAGAAAATCATCCAAAACAAAACAATTCAAATACAAAGGGTTATACTAACAAAGTTTAGTCATTAATAAATTAAAAAAGAAGAGACTGAGTTCACAGCTAAACACTTCGTTGTTTCATTAGGATTATAAAACCCAGCTTAACCATCGGATATGGACATAATTATATATGTGTAGGCAGCGAAAAATGTCCGACCATCATAGAAACACTCTAGAAGATATGTAGGGCCCACCAAGGACAAATGGTCATTCGACATGACCGACGGGCTAATCAAGAATCGTGGTCCCCAATTGACTAAGAATGAGAATCTACAACAGCTCTAAGTCAGGGCAGTGCGAGAATCAACCTCGAAATCCGCATAAAATAGCCGACTTGCGCAAACCAAGCAAGTTGAGATGACCCTACGCATACGTGCGTGGCTGTAGCTTCGCTCCAATAAGCGAGGCTATACCCCCGCACCAATCCGTGAGGCTACACCCTCCTAAGTCAAGGCAGAGCGAGAATCAACCTCGAAATCCGCATAAAATAGCCAACTTGCGCAAACCAAGCAAGTTGAGATGACCCCACGCGTAAGTGCGTGGCTGTAGCTTCGCTCCAATAAGCGAGGCTATACCCCCGCACCAATCCGTGAGGCTACACCCTCCATCCGATGTGGGGGGCTATGCAACCCCCTCGCATGTGCAGGGATAGGGTCCCATTTCAAATGTGTGGGGATAGGGATGAAGACAAGGGGGCAAAGGGCGGCCATGCCAGAACCTATTTCTTTTTCAGAATCAACAATGTTTCCCAAGGCTGACCTGTACTTAAGCACACCAAGGTTCCTAAGCACGGCAGGATCTATGTAGTCTGCAAATATTGTTATGGAACTAATGTCATAACAATATTTGTAACAAAATATATAGGTAGTAGTAGTATAAATAAGTTATAACATGTAAGTAATAATAATAAGTTGTGGGCCTTAATTTGTAAGTGGAAATAAGTTATAGGCTTTACAAAGCCATTTAGCAGTGCAAATGGGTTGTTGAAACTGTTGTGGGCCTTGACCCAAAACCCAAATCAAAATCCAACATTTATCCCAAAACAGAGAACAAAATTCTCATTCTCCTACAATGTGACCTTCAGCAAAAAAAATCTCCGCCACCAGGTTCTCCTAAATTTTGCTGCATCACCACCTCCAGACCCCGTTTGCGAGCATCAAGCCTACTGCCTAGATCTCAGACTTCAATCCTTATTCATACATCAACAAGTTACAAGTTACAAGGTAAACTCTAGTTGAAAACCCTTAGTCAAGACACTAATTTTGTAGTTGCAAATATTTATAAATTTTTTAAAATAAGATTTCTCATTGTTTACTATTCAAAACTCTCGTTGAAATCCTTTAAATTTCTTGTTCTTTTTCATATAAGTGAGGTCTTTAAAACTTTGATTATTTTATTCTTCATAAAAATGACAACTGAAAATATATTGTTTAGTTGTTCAATTAGTTCAGAGTTCAATGGATTAATAGTTAATACCAAGTACTTTGCTTGTTTAATTGTTTTGGATTTAGCAATGATTGCAATGCTATGAGCTTCTAGTTAGATCAAGCAATTTACTTTTGAGAGACTGTGGCAATCCTCATGAATTAGACATATATCTTGAAACTTTGTATCATACTCTAAAGCACTATATGGTTGTCTTCATTTTAAGGTCAGTGATGGGTCTGATAATTTCTAAAGCTTGACATTTATAGTGTTACGTGTCCTGACAATTTTAGGTCTTCTAAAACATTAGAATTTTAATTTGTTGTTATGGGAAAACTGACCACAACTGATGCATTTTTGAAAAAAAAATCCCTTCAACAACCCGTACAAAGTGAAGGTGCTACTCCAAATCCAGAAATTTCAATCAGTGATCATCCTCATAAAGTTCAAAGCTACACATGAAAAATTGATCTTTCTTCTTTAAGGTGTGATCCTGGATTGAGTTTACCGATATAGAAATATCATATCAACAACAAGATGAGACATCAATATTATCTAAGAGCTGGTCCATATCAATGCAAACTAGAAAATTATCCTCCACCGTGTCCACACATCCATTGTCATTTTTGTCATTCTTGGTTTGCATTGTTTCCACAATGGCTTGAATATTCTCCATCTAGTGATGCAGCTTTTTTGCTTACCTTGTTATCTTTTTAGCGAGCTAAAAGGGAGAATTGAATAAAACAAATTTGTCGTTGGAGGATTTAGAGCTTGGGGAAAAAGTTAATGATGAGAAAATTGTGCTTTTCTATGACATATGGGAAAAGAACCTAATTCATTCCATGAAATGGCTGTAAAAGCAAGCAAGAATCTAATGAATGCTTCTCAACATGTTGTGAAATCAATTGAAAACATTCTTCTCAACAACTTGCAATAAATTGGCTACGGCTTCAAGTATCAATTGATGTTTGTCCGATGGCTTACATTTCACACTTGTGCTTTTCGTGGTTATGATAAAAGCTTGGATTCTCTCAATCATGGCAACTTTTTAGAACTTGTAACGTTATTGGCCTCTTACGATGGAAAAGTTTGACATTGATTTAGACAATGCTCTCTGAAATGCCTCTTATACGTCATGACAAATCGAAGAGGAAATCCTTCATCTTTTGTTGCAAAGTTAAAAGAGATATTTGAGAAGCAATAGATGATGCAAAATTGTGCATCATTGTTGATGAATCTCGTGATGAGTCTAAAAAAGAGCAAATGGCAATTGTTTTGAGATTCATGGATAAAGAGGGATTCATACATGAATGTTTCTTTGGTCTAGTTCATGTACGAGACACCACAGCTTTGACTTTGAAGAACAACATTTTTGTGTTCTCTCTGAGCATACATGTCTATTCCTATGTCAATCAGTATTATGTAGCACGGAAACTCCTAGCCTGAAGTCATATTGTGTTGGATAGGTGAACATGTGTAATTGACACTGGCACTTCTTGAACACCTTCAATGTCTATCAATTATACACTATATTTTTAATTTATGACACTTTCTCGGACACTTACTACGTTTCTCATGCTTTGTTTGAGATACTTATACTTTCATTTATACACGGAAAACTGTAACAGAAAAGTCTGTCAACATTATGCATACAAAGTGAGACGCATTAAGCAATCAAACAAAGTCAACAAGCCCACTCTCATTATTTTCTCAGTCATAAAAATAAATGATAGGCTAAAGTTTTAGCACAAAGCTATTAGGGGACACACACTTCCAAATATGGAGACATGGCATGTCAGACCACTATATACTAAATATAATGTACCAGACGTGCTTCATTTGACCTACGCAGAATACATTGCGTGTCAATATATCATGTCATCTTGTGTCTGTGTTCTCGCCTTGTGGTTCATGCCTGTGAAACATATGCATAACTTGAATACTGTATGCTATAACATTATTAGAAATATGTGTTCCAAACTTTTGGATACACAGACATGTTTATGCACCTATGTATATGCACACCTTATATTTACATTTTAATATATAATGTCCTACTTTCAAGGAATGGTCATGTCGCATAATTGCGTTCCTGTCATGTCCAATATCTGTATCCATGCTTCTTACATTAGCATAATAATAATTATAATATCAAGTGATAAAACTAAAGTGCCTTTTCAGGGAGAGAAGGAAGGGGGTCAAATTATCTTAACTGATGCTTCTAGTTTTATAAATCAAACTTAAAAAGTTCAAGACAATTTAACTTCTTTCCCTCCAAGAAGCCAATATATCCCCGAATACAAATAAGACAGACATAAGATTCAAGCCTTTTACACTAGGATGAAAGTCAGCTCAAGCTAGTTAAAGAATAATTAAATATTTAAAAATAAAAACCTTTTTTAAAAGAAAAAAAAAAGCTTTATGCTGTTTAACACTAGATGACAGAGATGGATCAAGAGCCCAGCTATTAACAAATCTATTCGCACAAAAAGACATTCACATGAAAGAACCAACATAAGCAGAGCTACTTAGCTTTTCAAGTGATCATAGCATTGGATGACTTGCAGGTGAAGAAATGAAGCCACCAATAAAAATTAAGGAACTCTCTTAATCTTCAATAAGAAATAAATTCTCTAGTTTCTGGATGGGTCAAGTAAAAAAGCAAGATATCAGTTCGGGCGCTGTAATAGTGATGCTGTTGGAAGAGGGTGTTCAAGATGAGAATAGAATTGGTGCAGGTTGCAGCTGATGCGGGGGTTTTAGATTTTAAAATTTTCTTAAATGTTGCTTCAGGGGATGTAATGGTGATGCTATCAGAAAAGGGCGTCAAGAAGGGGATAGAAATGCCGCAGGTTGCCGCTGATGTTGGGGTTTTTATTTTTTTATTTTTTTATTTTGAGAAGAATGAACTTGTAACCTTATTCTGTTCAGGCCTTGAGAGTTTCATGTCATACTCCTATTAATGTGAACTCTTTCGAAAATGAAATTTAGCCTGGAGGTGAACCGCTTCATCCTAGACTCGTAAAAGAAAACAGTTAACAATAGCAGAAGAGCCAAAGAAAAAGCATGGGATTCAAGCTTCAACATATGAAATTTTCACTATTTTCATGCTGCCTTCTTAATTGTTTATATTCTCATTAAGGTCCTAAAGGCTAAAACACCCCCTTCCCAGCCAAATCACCTGTTGGTACCAGCTTACACCTGCCAGGGGAAAAGTTTGTAGTTTACAAATATGATAAAGAAAATCACAAATGAAATGGTAAAACACGACTTCTATTCATACTTCAACAGAAGCCTAAAAAAGTTGATAATCTAATAGATAGTTATCATGGCTCCATTCCCAGACACCACAGCTTATTGCTGAGCGTGATGCAATAGAACATCCAAGTAATCAACCTGTAACTAGAATAAATCCATTTGATAAAAACTAAAAACAGTTGCATGAGTAATTCCACATTATTTATTGATGATATATTGATAATTTCTCGGTTCATCCATCCTGAGTATATAAAAAATCTAGAATCAATTTAAGTTACCATCCTACAGAGAAAACTCATCCATAGAAATGCATAGAAATGCAATATTATGAAATACATGTGCATAAACATGGCAACCAGACAACTTTTGAATACCAGTGATGTAGATTTTAACTTACATTTTTCCGAAACAATATGTTGAATGTAGAAACCAAAGCAATAGGATAAACTACACTGACAAGTGGACAAAACTCTCTAAGCTTACCTTTGTTTAGAACAATAATATGTTGATCAATATCTTAGATCAGTAATGCATCTACCTTCAACACAACATTTAAATACCATATTCATAATAGAAAACAAGCAATCTCCGCATGGCTTCTCATAAGAAATTGAGGAAATGAATGAAAAGAAACAGTGAAAAATAAAACAAAGCAAAACAAGAAATGGAGATCATAAATACCAGGAAAATGACGCGTGATAAGGGCAACAAGAGATACAGCAGATTTCCCGCAAGCCTTCACAAGGTTAGCTGCCTCTCCACCAAAGCTTCTCTCCAGTTCCAGTCCAACCTGAATTATATAAAGAGAATACAGCAACTAGATCAGAGTTCCTGTTACACTTCATAAAGCATTACCATTGAGAATACAAATAGAACACAGCAACTAGATAAAGGGAATACAGCAACTAGATCAGAATTCCTGCTACACTATATAAAGAGAATACAAATAGAATACAGCAACTAGATCAGAGTTCCTGCTACACTACATAAAGCATTACCATTGAAACATGTATGATCTAGAATAGAATAATAAATACTTGATCTTAGAGGAAAAAAGAGAAAAAATTTAGCCGAGGAAAAATGCCTTCATTGATGAAGGAGTACCTCATGTAGTAAGCGTACTCGTTCCTCCTCCAATGGAAGTGGACGGGGCCATTTCAACAGCTTGCGCAGTTCAGGACCTGAAATTTAAAATATCCTTTCATTTTTTTTAACTTAATGATCCACATTCATCAAATACTACAACAAAACGTTTGCTTATGGAAATGTGTGTGATTATTATATCCTTAAAATACCAAAAACTGGCAACAAAACTCCAACACATTCATTAACCAACTAAAGAGTTCTGGAGTAGGTCAGGTACCAGTATAGTTCTGTAGACGGTCTGCATCAAGAGCAGAGTTATCATTCTGCAGAGCTTCTTTCAGACCCGAAGCCAGATCATCATAATTTAAATCCTTGTCTGTTTGCAGCAACAGATAAGGCATCAAAACCCTAAAGGTACTCTGAACAAAGCACATGAAACAATAACAAGATAACAATATGTTTAATATTAATACAAGTGCAAATAAAGCAGTTAGAAGGAGGCCTTCTAAAAGATGTTGATAGATGAAGAGAAAAATGTAAATCTACTTCTTCTCGATTGTTTGCTACTGTCATTCTGTAAACCTGATAAAGCCCCAGAAATAATTGTTTCCCTTTTGGCAGCAAGCAGATTTAATAATTTTAGTTCGATAAGAATTGTATAACTTGTTAAAGTATAAATTGGACTTTGGATTTTAAGAGGATAAAGTTATCCACCTTGTTCCCACCTTCTGCTGTCTATAGCTCAAGACAACTTAAATCATCAAACCTCTCTGTCTCTAACAATAAATAAAACATGATGCGTCAAATTGCACAAAAATTCACATGCTTTTCAGTAAATCAATGATAAATAGCTGCAACATTAGAGGTCACTCAAGTTTTACCAAAAGATGCAAGAAAATGGCAGTTTACAAATGCAACAAGAACACAATTAATAGGCAGCAACAACAACAAAGGCTTTATCCCCCAAAATCACTTGAGAAGCCATAATAAAAATGATGAGAATGAGATTCTAGAAGAATATTACATATGTGTGGATAAGAGAAAGTAAAGAGAATATACCTGGCCAAAAACAAAAGTTCAGCGCGTCCAACACAAATAGGTACTGGACAGTAAGAGGTCCATTATCAAAGTAGTGAATCCCTTCAAAATCCCATTCAACTTTTGGAATTGAACCTTGAATATTATCCACCACCTTTTCAAGTTCTGAAGTAAACAAAAGTAAGGTGCATTAACTATAAGCCGTAAAAGTTTGAGACAAAATAATTGATTAGCACAACAAATTCATAACCAATAAATGTTATAAAATATAAGGTTGAGATACTTAACACAGTAAATACTAAATAGTAGACATTAGACAAGGTTTTCATAACTGACCTCCTTAAGAAATTTGTTAGACCATGACTTAGAGCAGTACTCGGAGTTATGTTACACAGTAACTTGTTCCAATTTGTAAAAGAGAAGGAGCTATTCATTTTCCATTCCTAAACATGAGATGCATCCAAAAATAGAAAAGCATAATAACATCTCTAGGTGTCAAGGACATTGCAAGAAAATACTTGAGGAGCTTCTTTACAAATGCTCTGTTCAGAATATCATATTATACGAAGCGTTAACTGTGTCTTGAATTCTATGACTGAATACATTGATGATCCACACGAACCATGATAAAGAATTTATTTTATGAAGAAATTTCATGGAGGCCTATGATGTATCCAAAGAGCTTAAGCCATGGGCCTAAGTCCAGACTCCATCAGTGACCTCATTAAGGATGCAGAACATTAGGGATGCAGGACAGGGGAAGATATCCTCCTCAATAACGACCTGTATTTATTATACAATTTTTGTGTAGTTTCTGTTATCTGAGACAAGACAGCCACTTCTTGTGTGAGAACTGGGTTAGTGTAAGAATTTAAGATATTCCACCATTGTACTACTTGTCACAATCAGCAGGTGAAGTACTGCTCCCGCTCCTTCACCCATGCACTTCAATCGAAAGGCCAAACTACATAAATATGCATTTCTTCTACTTATCTTTTCTTTCATATACGATAAAGCTTCATGAATGAGTAATTTGCTTCTTTATTACATACATTTTGTGATTTGCCCAATCAATAAATACTTAATCATAATTCTTTGGTGCAAATATCTACTACAACTATTCTGTACTGTAGGCCTTCTTACCAGGACAGAGCCAAGGAAGGGCATGCAAGAGCGTCTACTTCCCTAAGACTTGCAAAATATGTATGCTTATCTCATAAGTAATTTTTTAATCTGCTCAGCAAAACCCTCATTCCCAAAGTTCCAAGCATCATAACGTATCTCAACTTAGTGGCACTCAAAACAAAGAGAAGCTACAAAGAGGCACCTAAAAAGTACAACCGTCTAATGTCCCTTAATTGAGGACCTTCTTGATCAGTAATTGTGTATTCAAAATCTCATTCTTATCTAATTAGCCATTAGCTTGCCTAGCTACGTTCTTATAAAAAAAATTAAAATCAATTTTGTTACCAAATCAAATTCTAATGTTATTGTCTCGCAACCTTTTCTGATGATTTATCTCTATATCAACAAAAGAAAGTACAATTACCTTAAATACATTTTGTTATTACAGTCATTCTTTGTAACCTATAGATGTGACTTCTATATTCTCCATGGATCCTCAGTGTCTGAGCTTCATGTTTGAAGAAATGGCGAGAGAGTGCAGGAAAACAGCTGAAGAAACAGCCATGCAGACTGGCGGTCGACCGCCGCGGTCGACCGTAAACGTGCACGAAGGCCAGTAGGATTCAGAACTGAAGGCGGTCGACCGCGGCAGTCGACCACAAGGACCCTGTAGCGATTTTACTCTCGGGAAATCAGTACGGTCAACCGCCACGGTCGACCGCAGATGCAGTTTGGGCTGGGTTTTGGTTTTTGACCCAGTTCGTTTCTGAGTTGATATATAACCCTAAACATGTTTAATTAGGGTTAAGCAATGACGATTTTGAGCAGTCTTTGAGAGAGGATTGTTGCATCCAATTGTGGGAGATTTGTGAGAGATCTAGAGCTTTGTTTTAGGGTTTAATCGGTGAGATTTGTAACTCTATTTGTATTCTCTTGATTTCTAATAGTAAAAACTCCCCCCTCCTTGCCTCGTGGATGTAAGCAACTTGCCGAATCACGTAAATCGTTTGTTCTTGCTTTGATTGTGATTTGCTTATTGGTTGTGGTTTATCTCAAGTTATTGTTGTGTCACTCTGAGAAGCTTCCGCCGCGCACAACAATTGGTATCAGAGATAGATCGACAACATGGGAGAAGCAAGCACATCAGGTTCGTCTCTTACGAAGGCGACACAGAGTCTGAGCATCAATAACATGAAGATTGATGTTCCGAAGTTCGATGACAAGATCAATTTCGGATTGTGGAGGTGTCAAGTGATGGACACCTTGGATGCACAGAATTTGGAGGAGACTCTTGAGTTAAAAGAGAAACATGGAGGACAAGGTTTGGAGGAAGATGAACAGCAGAGCTTGTGGTGTTATTAGGTCATGCTTGACGCCGGATCTTATTTATGATGTTATGAACGAGACATCGGCGAAGAAGATGTGTGAAACACTCAATGAGAAGTATCTTACGAAAAGCATTGAGAATCGGCTTCACTTGAAGAAGAGGTTTTACCAGTTCAAGATGAAGAGGGGAGTTTCCATCAGGGAGCATGTCAACAATTTCACTAAGCTACTTTCAGATATAGCCAATATGAACATCATAGTTGAGGATGAAGATAAGGTGATGTTACTTCTGTGTTCGTTGCCCGAGGATGATTATGGTACGTTCGTTCTACATATGATCAATGGAAGAATTACAGTTAGCAATAAGGAGGTGACCTCAGCTTTGGTGAATTATGAGTTGAGAAAGAGTGATGGTGAACCCTCCGAGAAGGCATCGGGAGATGCATTAGCAGTTCAAGGCCGAGATCCAAACTGTCGCCAGTTTAACAGTTCAAAATCAAAGAATATGAGTGCCTATAAGAGTGTTGGTAGAAATCAATGTCGGTATTATAAAGAAGAAGGATATTGAAAGATTGACTGCCCAAAGTGAAAAGAAAAAACCGGAAAAATAAGGGAAAAACTGCACAAGCTTCAGAAGTGAATGTTGTAAAATCTATTGGTGAGCATTCAGATTCAGACTCTTCAGGCTATTCATGCCCTGCATTACCGTCGGTTTGCTATGCGGATTCCACGGAATGGATGATGAATTCGGGAGCTACATATCACATCTGCCCTAAGAGGGAGTGGTTCTCTAGCTTTGAGGAGCAGGAAAGAGAGGATGTCGTGCTTATGAGTAATGACCACGTATGTCCTATTGGTGGTATTGGTTCAGTCTGGATTAGGATGCATGACGGTGTAGTGAGGAAATTGAAGGAAGTGAGGTTCGTGCCGCAGTTAACGAAGAACACTATTTCTCTTGGGACTTTGAAGGTAACAGGATATCGGGTGATCTTAGAGGATGCTACAGTGAAAGTCACGAAAGACTCTATGGTGGTGATGCGAGATGTCAGGGAAAACAACCTATACTACTTGAAGGGTAAGACAGTTACAGGGGGTCTGACAGCTTCTATCACTACAGAGAAGGACACTACCACTTTATGGCACATGAGACTTGGACACACAGGAGATAAGTCCCTACAGTGATTAATGAAACAGGGACTATTGAAAGATGCTAAGACCTGCAAGATAGCTGTGTGAGCATTGCATACTTGGGAAGAAGACTAGAGTAAAGTTTGGCACCGCTGTTCATAACATCCGAGGTACATTGGATTACATTCACACAGATGTTTGGGGTCCTTCCAAGAACACATCTCTTGGTAGGGCCAACTACTTTATCACTTTCATTGATGACTATTCCAGGAAGAATTGGGTATACCCTATGAAGCATAAACATCAGGTCCTGAATATTTTTGTGGAGTGGAAGAAAAAAGTAGAGTTGCAGATAGGTAGAAAGGTGAAGACTCTACGTTCAGATAAAGATGGAGAGTACAAGAGTGATCCATTTCTACAGTTTTATCGGGATCACGATATTAAGAGACACTTCACAGTTCGAAAGACACCGCAACAGAACGGGGTGACTGAGAGATTGAACCGTACATTACTGGAGAATGTGCGATGTATGATGACGCAGAGTGGATTGTCTAGATCCTTTTGGGTCGAGACGTTAGTTTATGCGAGTCATCTCGTGAATAGGTTGTCGTGCACTGCGATAGACGGGAAGACTCCTTTGGAGCGTTGGTTTGGTTCGGTGGCTAGTGACTATAAATCGCTTCGGATATTTGGGTGTCCAGCTTATTACCATGTCAGTGATGGTAAATTAAATCCGAGAGCGAGGAAATCAGTCTTGTGGGATTTAGAGATGGAGTCAAAGGCTTTAAGTTATGGGATCCACAGGACAGGAATATAGTTATTAGCAGAGATGTCATATTTGATGAGACGTACATGATGAGTCAGTAGGTGGAGGGAGACCAGACAGGAGAGATATCACAGCAGGTGAAGAATAATGTGACTCCACCCACTCCAGAAAGCATTGTATCCATTGAGGCTCCTACAGAGGTGACACTGAAAGGAGATGAGATGACAACCGAACAGATAGAGGATATAGTGAATTATGGGACTTAGGAATAGGGTTATGTTTAAGGGTCCATTGCAGCAGATAGACCGAGGAGAGTAATTCGTCGGCCAGCTAGGTATAATGATGTCATGGTCGCATATACATTATCAGTGGAGGTCGTTGATGATATGGTTCCATCCACATTCAGGGAGGCAGAGTCTAGCCCCGATTCGATCAGGTGGAGGGAAGCTATGGAGGAGGAGATGCGGTCTCTTCAGAAGAACGACACTTGGACACTTGCACATCTACCTAAAGGCAAGAGAGCTATAGGTTACAAGTGGGTATATGCGAAAGAGGGATCTTCTATTGGGAACATTCGGTTCAAAGCCATATTGATTGCCATGGGATATGCACAGCTTGAGGGCATTGACTACAACGAAGTATTTTTACCTGTTGTGAAGCATTCGTCGATACGGATTTTATTAACGTTGGTGGCACAATTGGATTTGGATTTGGTCCAAATGGATATAAAGACAGCATTTTTATACGATGATCTAGATAAGAAGATCTACATGACACAACCCTTGGGATTCAAAGCTGCAGGAAAGAAAGACTTAGTTTGTAAGCTGAAGAAATCTCTTTATGGTTTGAAGCAGTCACCAAGACAGTGGTATAAGAGATTCAACGGCTTTATGATTGACCGAGGGTACACAAGGAGCCCATATGACCCATGTATTTATATGCACAAGCTACAGGATGGTGATCACATATATTTGCTTTTATATGTTGACGATATGCTTATTACTTCTAGGAATTTTTCAGCTATTCGAAAGTTGAAAGAGGAGCTATCATCCGAGTTTGAGATGAAGGATCTTGGAGAGGCAAAAAAGATATTAGGTATGAAGATCGAGAGAGACAGGGTGAAAGGGAGTTTGAAGCTTACACAGAAGAGCTACTTGCAGAAGATGTTGAAGAAATTCAGTTTTGATAAAAATGTAAAAGCAGTTAGCACACCATTGGCTCCCCACTTTAAGCTTTTAGCGTTGTCACCTGTTTCATTTGAGGACAGAGATTATATATCGTATGTCTCATATATCAGTACAGTAGGTAGCTTGATGTATGCGATGGTGTGTACGAGACCAGATTTATCACAGACCGTGAGCATGGTATCGAGATATATGCACGACCCCGGGAAGGATCATTAGGAGGCTGTGAAGTGGATTCTACAGTATGTTCGAGGCACCGTGGATGTTGGTTTAGTATTTCAGAAGGATGAGAAGAATGGGCAGGATTGTATTGGATATGTGAATTCAGATTATGCTGGAGATCTTGACAAGTGTCGGTCTACTTCAGGTTATGTTTTTACATTGGTAGGTGCACCTGTATGTTGGCGATACACGCTTCAGTCCACAGTGGCTCTCTCTACTACGGAGACAGAGTATATGATAGTAATTGAAGCTATTAAGGAGGTTTTATGGTTACGTGGATTATTGGAGGACTTGGGGATAGCATAGGAGACCATTCAGATATATTATGATAGCATGTCGGCTATCTATTTGGTGAAGAACCAGGTTTATCATGCGCGTACGAAGCACATCGATGTCAGATTTTACTTTATTCGTGACGTTTTGGATGATAAAGACGTCATATTGGAGAAGGTCCACACGAATGATAACCCTGCAAATATGTTGACCAAAGTTGTTTCAGGAGTGAAATTTGGTCATTGTTTGAAGCTTTTGAACATTCTTCAGTGTTGAGGCCTTTGGAGGCTATTTTGGTGAACTACGTTCGGCTTGATTCCTTGGACAAGAGGATACGTAAGGAGTTTTTCAGATGTAGCCGGTTTGATCTGTTGATTCAGATGGGAGAGATCGCGTTTTAGCTCTAGTTTGTTCCCGGACTTGTTGAGGGACTATTGGATGATTTGGTGTCGGCTCAGTTTTAGTAGAAACAATCACTGAGGTGGAAAATTGAAGAAATGGCGAAAGAGTGCAGGAAAACAGCTGAAGAAACAACCATGCAGACTGGCGGTCGATCGTCACGATCGATCGCAAACATGCACGAAGGTCAGTAGGATTCAGAGCTGAAGGTGGTCGACCGCGGTAGTCGACCGCAAGGACCCTGTAGTGATTTTACTCTCGGGAAATCAGTACGGTCGACCGCACCATGACTGTAATCAATTTCACTCTCGGGTTTGTGGTTCGGTCGACCGCCACGGTCGACCGCGAAACCTGCGCGGTCGACCGCAGATGCAGTTTGGGCTGGGTTTTGGTTTTTAACCCGGTTCGTTTCTGAGTTGATATATAACCCTAAACCCGTTTAATTAGGGTTAAGCAAGGACGATTTTGAGCAGTCTTTGAGAGAGGATTGTTGTATCCAATTATGGAAGATTTGCGAGAGATCTAGAGCTTTGTTTTAGGGTTTAATCGGTGAGATTTGTAACTCTATTTGTATTCTCTTGATTTCTAATAGTAAGAACCCCCCTCCTTGCCCCGTGGACATAGGCAGCTTGCCGAACCACGTAAATCGTTTGTTCTTACTGTGGTTGTGATTTGCTTATTGGTTGTGGTTTATCTCAAGTTATTGTTGTGTCACTCTGAGAAGCTTCCGCTGCGCACAACAATGTTCATAAAACAACATATGGCTTATAAGGCTTTAATATATAGCCTCACTCTCCAACACCTAAGGATAAGCAAATTATTCATTTTTTTTTCTCTCTTTCAAATACTACTAAATCACTTCTCAATTTCATATTTTGAATTTATTTTCTTATTCGAATCTCAGTTAATGTATGAAACGGATCTCCAGTCAATTTATTTCTCTCTAAAATGTGTTATATCAACTCAGATCACCTCCCCAAAAAAGTTATTCTCTTTGAAAAAGGAGGGGAAAAGATGATTTTCAATTCATAAACGTTCGTACAGTACGGAACAGATTACTAATAACCTATACGCAAACACTAATCTTTCATTAACTAACATAATAACAGACAAAGTATAAAAAAAGACGGCATTTTTATAAAACCCTAACCCTAGATTTTAAAAGAGACTGAAACGGGAAAGGAAAAAAATCACCTAAAACATCAACTTTCACGTGAGAGGAACGATTTGCGACCCACGCCGCCGATGATCTCACCTCATCCATCTCCTTCTCCTCAAAATACAAATTTCCACGGAAATAAAATTTCTCTTTTTCTTCCTCCCGATTTTATCGAGATTTTTTTTTCCTTTTTTCTTTTAATTTATCTCTCCTCTCCCCAGGCGCCTCCTTTGATCCGACTGTCTCTCGGTGGGGTTTTAATGACCTCCAATTTTTTTCCCGCTTGGAACACGAGCGCACCAACCGACGAAATTACGATTTTACCCCTACAGACTCCACAAATTTGCAAATTTGCAATTAAATGTGGACCGTTGATCAGTGCTCTTACGGTTTAAGATTTTTGTGATGTCTTCATCGTAATAGATATATCGCATCATTACACTTTTTCGATAAAATTCGTAAGAGCAAGTACAGCAAGCTCCCAGTTGGGAGTCCTAGTCATCATGCTCTCAAGAGCTCTCAAACATTTTAGAATAAAAAATTAACAAATTAAGCCTTGGGAGGCACTCCTTCTTTTATGAAGCTCCAACAAGCTCCTAGTTAGGAGCTCCAACAATATCAAAAAAACCCCTCTTCTATTTTAATATTTTACCCATTACTTTTAATTATATTTAAACCTCTTGTATTTTATTTCTAACCGTTGGATACGGCCGTCGAATCAAATCCACGCCTCTTCATCTCCCGTGTCAAAGTCTCTATTTTGCCGAGGACTTGCCGATCGGAGCTCAGGCCTTGCCGATCGGAGAGGGGACTTGCCGATTGGAGATGGTCTATCAGGTTAGAACCGGTCAAAGTCACTATTTTGATTAATCGAGCATTCTTCATTTTGGAAAAGGTTGGATTTTTTGCTTCTTTTTTTGGGCAGATTTTGATCACTCTGCAATTGTGTTTTTGTGGGGGGTGGTTTTGTAAATCTTGCATAGCTTGGGAGCTCCCAAGCGCTCCACAAATTTGTGGAGCGCTTGGGAGCTCCAGCTCTCAATGTCCACGTCAGCCAAAGGAGATGGCTTGGGAGCTCATTGGGAGCTTGTTGGAGGGCTTGCAAACTCTCCCACTGCCACATAGGCCTTGAGAGGGGGTGCAAGGAGCTTGCTGCCCTTGCTCTAAGAACCGTCAATTGTTGTAATAAATAATTTCATTCTTCTCATCTCCGAAAATCAAAAGCATTTGGATCCTATCCATTACTAAAATATAGCTTAGAGTTTACAATTTCTGATTAGATTGTGTTATATTTAGAATGAATCATAAATTTATTATCCATTAAAAAAATTAATGATTAAATTTAGAATTAGTGATCTTTTTATTATATTTTACCATTGTAGATGATACAAACCCGTTTATAAATATCATGATGCTCATGCATATCTCCTACCTAACATCTGGAAAAATAAAATTCATATATTACTTTATATTTAATGGAAATTCCTAAAATCTAAGGCAATATATTAATGGCTAAATAGAAAAATGGAAATTCCTAAAATCTAAGGCAATATATTAATGGCTAAATAGAAAGTATAATGTTGTGTTGTAAGAAGGTCTTTAAGTAATTAGATGATAGTGAGGGGGTTATCTACAATTTGTTCTTTCTAGAGGATGGGAGTCTAGTTGTCAGGATGAGACATTGAGGATTCTCCAATGGCTCGGGAAATTCGTGACGTATGACGTGGAGGAACCTTCAGGTTTAATTTTTTTTATTTTTCATTTATGACAAAAACCTAGTCTATACTAGGGCCCCAATTTTAGCATGTTGGAGATTGAGTGGAAACTTGAAGGGCTTTTGTGGTGGAAGCAAAGATATGTGCATGTGGTGGGTTATTGGATTTGGGGGGCCACATGCTGCTATGCATATGATGGGTTATCGGATTCAGATCCAAATGTTCAAGCTCTGACAAGTATAAAACCGACTCTGACAAGTATAGGTGCCTCTTTGTTTACACGGAAGTAAGTATGAAGTATGTGAAGTAAATAAAATAGACGTCATTTCTGTTACTTTCGAGAAGAAAAGTATGTTTGTTTCTTTGAAAACGCTACTTCCAATACTTTCTTAGAAGTTGACATGACACCTACATGACATCTTTACTTCTTTAATCTTTTTCCTCCCCTCAAGGCTCCGAAGTACCTCGGAAGTAGATGAAATTGAGCCAATGTAGGAATACAATCATTTTTGTTATTATATATGAATATTTTCATACCCTAAATAAAATCCCGAAAAATCATTTTTTTCTCTTCCTAACAATATTTATTATTGCTACCAAACAAAAAAAGTTAATGAAGTGGAAGAAACATTATTTCCTCTACTTTCTAAAGTTTGCGAAACAAATAAAAAAAGAAGTACTTCCACTACTTTCTAATTCATAATTTCAAAAGTAATAAATTTAATTTACTTCTTAATTCTAATACTTCCTATCAACGAAATATGCCCTAAAGCCGGACCTTCCGGGTTTGGATTTTGAGCACTGAAGATATAGCAAATTCGTGGAATGTTGTGTGTGACATGTCTACATGTCAATTAAAATTATTTATAATTAATACCAACAAGCAAAGGATTAAGGTAGAATTTTCAAATTCATTTTTTCCCTCATACTAAAACATAATTCAAGACATGTTTGATTTGTCGACTGCGTCCAAAAGGTTATTAACGAGGTTTTTGTTAGCAAAATGGATGAGTTGATGAAGAGAAGCTGGTAAAAAGAAAGAATATCGAAGAGCAACATCTTATATTAGAGTATGCTCCAAAAGAAAACCAAATGACTACAAACTCTCCATAATGTATCATGCCAAATTTTCTCTTTTCAATTTTCTCAAGAGGTGTGTATGTTGTAAGGACATTGTTCATACAATATCTCCTGTATGAGTAACGATAAACATTAATTTGAGTCTAACTTGTGTTCAAGATGATCTAGTATATGTGTATACAACTATGGAATAAGAATGAGGATAGTAAGTGTCGAAAATCAGCTCAAAGGCTGATTTCAGAACTCTCACCATTGATGATTTGGGATCGACCATCGATGATCTCATATGGACCATCAATGCTCAACCCCCAGTTATGCAAATGTTCAGAGAGGTTCAAACCATCGATGGAGGCATTGCCCGTCGATGATCACTATTTAACATCGACGGTGAAAGTTGGCCATCGATGGTCATTTTCTTGATTCCAATTTGTAGAGTTCAATCTTAGCCATTCGTTGCAAAATACTTCTTAATTTTCTCATACGTTTGTACATACTCTTTCCTAACCTAAGTTTGAGAGAAAAAGAGAAGAGAGAGAAAAGCTAGGGTTTGGAGAGATCGTCAAAAGTTTTTCAATTGCCCGGAGCCTCGTCGATCATTCATTTGCTATGTTTGTCATCATCTCATCAATCAACGGAGAGGAGAACTGTTGTTGGATCTTAGAGTCCGCATCAAACTTCCAGATCTCCACTTATATCATCTTGAAGTTTGATCCATTGATCAAAGGAGTTGTAGGATTTTTCTAATTGCTTGTAAAAGATTTTCGTTGTGTATTTCAACCCGATTTTCCTTTAAGGTGTACTCAAGTCGGGTTAATTAATGGTTAGGAACTAGGGCTAATGTTACTCATTGTGAAGAGTTTGGATTAGTCGACTAGTTTTTGGATAAACTAGTGTGCCGTCTTGTAAGCCTGCTGAATCAGGTTTGTGATTTGAAAAAACTCGATCATAGTGAGGAAGCCCCTTCCCGAGAATGAAGAGTGGATGTAGAATTGTTTATCCAAACCACTATAAAAATATCGTGTGTTCTAATTATTTAATCTGTAACTTATTTATTGCATGCTATATTTATCGTTATCATATTATTTCCACTACAATTTATCTGTGATATCAACAAATAGTACGCAATTCTGTTCATCCCCCTCTAGACTTGCACTTCAAATCCAACACATATATCTTAGTTGTTCATCTATCTCAATTTGTCACCTAAGCCATCTAAATCAACCTTAGTCGTTCGTCCAAGAAAATATTTTTAGTTCAAAATAAATAAACATGTAAATCTACAATAATTGCGGGATCTTATCATATCAAATTATTTATGCAGTTACCAAATCTCTCCCCCCAAGGGAAAAAAGGAACAAAGCGAAAAAGAGAAAAAAAAATAACAACAAAATTTCTATTAAAAATTTGCAACAGTGAAAAGAAAAATTAAGAGTTGAGATATTTTAGTTCAGACTGAAATAAAAACTAACTAAATCTATTTAATAACAAATTCTATTGATATCATCTCTCCACCTCTAAAAATCTTTCAAATCTCTCCTGCAAATGGATATTATTTCAATCCCAGAAGTATCTATGTTCTTTCATTTTGGTGAGCCTTCTCAATTTTTTCTCTAGTCCCCTAAATCCAACATCTCTATTATCTTAACTTCCCTAAGGCCTAATCTGTCATCTTTGTATCTCAAACCCCTTTGATATTGAACATTTGAAAAAGTCAAAAGCCAGTGAGGGATCCTGGGAAAGATGAAGTCAAGGCAAGGGCCAGTGTGTTTATTCAATATCATTTTAGAGAAATACGCGGTGATCCAAAGTCTAAGAGTCTTGATAGGTGCATAATAAACATGCACTAAAGTTGTAAGAGAACAACTATCAAGTTATAGCATAGTTGCAATATCGATCCTGTGAAGAAGGTATGTAGAGAAAATTCTAAATTAGATCCTAGCAATGTGTGTGGACAATGAAGGCTGAAAGTATAGAGATATAGAGAGTGTGTGATTATTTACAAATAGAAAAATAGAACAAGAGGGAAGAAAGTTGAGTGAACAAATAAAAGAAAACAAATAATAAACAAGGAATAGAAATAAAGAAAAAAGAAAAATTAAAATCAGAAAAAGAAAAAATAATCAAAAAGAGGAAAATCAAAATAAGTAAAAGATGGAGAAAATCAAGTAAAGAAGATAGGAATCTAGAATTGAATCCACTGGTTAATTTTATTTAGGATTTATGAACTACTCATTTTTTATTATATTTAACTTTAGATTTACTAAGCATAGATTATAAGCATAAAGAATAAGAATAAGAAAAATAAACATCTAAACTATAAGCATAAAGAGAATTTAACTCAAAATAATAAAAGAGCATGAAAGTAAATCTAAACTACAAAGCATGAAATAAATCTAATTTACCAACATAAAACTAAAAAGAAAATAAAATCCTAAATACGAATG